TATATATTGACCAAACTCGTGCGACATCCTGATTTTCGTCACATTTGTTTCTCTCAATGTTTCGTTGTTACAGCCTCATTGAATATGATATTGCCCCACATCAAATGCAACATGTGATATAATACCCACTTATGTCACTGCTTCTATTAGCCACATGCCATTAAAATGTAAAATTTCGCGATTTTAACGACGGTTGCTGGTGCATCAGTTGTAAGACAACAAAGTCACAGTAGAAAATGTAACTGTAATTTATTTGATAAAATGACTAATAGACTTTATACAGGTATTGTACTTTCCTCTCGTCCATGTTCCATTTGCTCTTCTTCATTTTTGAGCATTGGAGGCAGTCGCTTTAGCATGAAATCCACCAAGTTGACTACCAAACAGAATTCGCAAGTTTCCTCTAATACACCGCACACCCTTACCACTGGCGACCAATGGCAAGGTAGCTACCTTATCCCTTTTTTCTTATAGAGGGAAAAGTTTTCGATTAAATTAAAATCCCAGCTGTTGCGCGGTAACAGAACGAATTAGACATTGAACTTCATCCCTCTGAAAACTGCATAAATGTGAAAAAATAATACTTATCTAGGTCTAACCGTTTTCTACCACCAATCTCAAGCGAGCGGATATACCAATCTTCAGATGTCAAAGTTTGACTTCCGCGAATGCATTTTGAGAGTGATAGTTAACAAAAAACCTCCCTTATCAGTGCAAGAAATTTTGCTATGTTGATATTGGTGTATGAAGGAGACCAACAACAATGCGCTCAATGAGCACTTCCCTTCCAACTAGTTAGGTGGGAACCACCGGCAACCATGCACCAGTACATTGCTGCTTTGCAGTGTGCATTTGGTTGTACAAGCACTGGAGGATGCCGTCGAAGAAAAAGCCCACAGACGATGGGGACGTTTCTCGTACCAAAGCCCATTAAACTCCATGATCATGTCCACAAACTCCATTCATTTAGCTGGTTTATTCCCTCCAAGGAGCCAGCCGAAGTAACGTATAATGAAGTATTAAATAAACCTATGGATAGGGTGTGACGGAAAGGGATAAGATCAGTAGTGGACGTGGGTGACAAATAAAGAATACTGAATAGCAGGTTTAATGATGTGCTCTTTTTGTTTTATTCAGTCTCAATTAGTATTGCATGTTGAATTAGCACTGTTGTAAAAATGAACTCACTGTGATCCGTTACTGTTCCTTTCGATTGTCAAATGTTTCACCATTGTGCTTTCTCCTTCCAATATACACAGGATACTGGTTCAACTGAGGGCTTGGAAATGTGGGAAATAGACGAATTCTATCCGAAACGTGTGGAGGACGAGGTGGTACAAGGTCGTTTGCTAGACGGGGATTGTTACATCGTCTTGCAAACGAAACGCACCCCAAATCAGACACTGGATTGGGTTATCTATTACTGGATCGGATTAAACGCGTCTCGTGACAAGCAGACTTGTGCTGCGGTACACGCAGTAAATCTGCGTAACTTCCTCGGGGCCGAGGGTCGCACATTCCGTGAAGAGCAAAATGACGAGAGCGAAGAGTTTCTTGCTCTGTTTGGTGGCAGTTTGATGATCCTCGAGGGTGCACATGGGGAGACTGGATTTTTCCATGTGGAAGAACAAGGTGTTGTGGTCAAATTATACAGGTATCTCTTTGTTCTCCCTGCATTTTTGTTTTATATTACTGTTTTCAAATTCCACACTCCTATTGACTGTTGGAAAAATCGGTGATGATTTTCAATAGTCCTGGTAACAACACTTGACGGATACATACATTCGTACACCGTAACTACATATCACACAGTGAGTATACCAATGACCACTAATGTTGGCACAGTTTTGAGCGGTCTAGGGGAGAGCAGAAGCTATTTGCTCCCACTCCATTGAGCGTTCACCTAGCGGCTAGTTCCCTGGAGCGTTGATTGCGCAAAATTCTATTAATTTTTTCTGTACCCGTTAAGAACTGGCAACTTCAACGGCGTTAGTTGACAAAGAAGACTGAGTTGTGGTTGAACTATTGCTCTTGGTGTATGAGGGTTCTCCGAGCCGCTTCGTATCCAAGTTGAGTAACTTTATTCGTGCAAAGTCCCACTTGTAGTATATTGAACTATCATTGTTTTGAAATCTATTCGTCCTGTAGTAATGGCGTCCTGTCTAACTAACTACTGGAACATCCCAAAGCTGTTTCTTCTCTGTCAGGAATCGTCATTAATATATACCCATCAAATCAATCAACCCCAGTGGAGGGGTGAGCTTGGACAAGACATAATATCACTGAACTCGCCTCGCTGTCCACGTCTCTGTTCCCGTCCATTGATGTCTTGCTGCAAAATCCAGCAATCAGTGATTTGTGAGTGTCATAGTCCTGTGGGTTCTGTTTCAAACTGTTTTAGCCCTTTAGACACTTGCTGACACTTTCTGTTAGCGGTAAATTACCGTGAACCCTGTCTTCAAGGTATTTCAGTAGCTCGTTTTATAATATAATTGATTGGCAAAAATACTCTGTTTGATTTATCGCAATGCGAACAAATATCTATTCCTTTGTGAAATTCATAAAAGTAAACTTTGCTACATATGTCCTGTATGTTGATAAAATTCTGTTTGCGGCATAGGCATTTTCTGTAACTGGTGTCATTCTTGACTGAATCAGTAACTTCTGATACCAAGTCAGAGCGTTACTTGATCATTCCTACCACGCATCTTTTTTCGCAGATCACAATCGCGCACCTAGGTGAATCCTCCTGTTCCTCATATATTTTGATCTCTGAGACGTTGCATCGGAAAGATTTCTGTAGCTTTGGTTGTTTGCTGAGCCCAGCTGTGGTTGAATGAAGATAACGGACGACTTGCACATGTTTCCCCGATATAAGCTTTTACATTTCACTTGGATGAAAACACCCCCACCGTGACCACGCATCACCAATTGATTCCCTTTGCCTTTTGTTTACCTGAATTCTCCCCTTACTTTTCCACCAATTGATTGACAGAAACCGAAACCGAGGCAGGAAATGAGGTTATGATGATGGTGCATATTGATAACTATTATTATTAGTATTAGTATTCCGTAAAGAAACACCAAATGAGATTGTTCATGTTCCACTGATTCCTATTTGTTCATAATAAATAGATTTAACAATTCTATTTTTTTGTTTTATTTCTTTTTATTTCTCTTCACCTCTCCTAGTTTGTGGTTTCACATCGTGAGCCAATGATTTGCACTGTATAGTATGCAGTTTCCAGATCGAACCAATCTAGCTTCTGTTGTGATAAAACAACGGTGGATAACAGTGCTGCAAATAGAATCACTTTTCTTGGAAAATGTACTACTTACAGCAATTAATGAATAAATGAATAGGGTGTGCCCTAGTCACGTAATCTGTGATACGATGGACTTGTTCTCGTGGCCGCTTAATTATCAATTCAGCAATACAATGATCTACCTCAAGGCTTATTTAATGGGATAATCTGACGTATTTGTTTTCAATCTCTGTAGGCTTTTCGGAATGGAGAAACGGTTAATGATTGTATCCATGCCATTGACACCTCTGAGTTTGGATCCCAAATTCTGCTATCTGATTGATGGGCATTCGCAACTCTTCCTTTGGCTCGGATCGCAATCGCGTTTGATGGTACGCACGAAAGGACGACTGCTTGCCGAAAAGATATCTGTCCGTGAACGTCGTGGTGAGGCAACCATTCATTTGGAACCGCAAGGTCGCGAATCGAATACTTTCTGGGCAGTAATTATGGGTCGCTGGGCTCCACGTGCATTACCCAATTTGGTCAACGTTTCCGAAACAGAGAACGGGTCTGGCAATACTGCCGGTGCTAACACATCCAAAACAGACGGAACCAATGCGGCCAACAATCATCCTCCTCCACCGGAAGTCACTGCGCCTCAAAATGTTCCGCGTGATTTCATTCCGGCTGATTGGCGTTTGCCGCAACCTATTTTATACGACGTGCGCATGGGTAAAGGTTATTTGGAATTGCCACAGGTATGGAAACTTGAGTATCGAAAGCAAAATCCGTGTGAATACTGTTCTTGTCAATGTTTTCTGCTTATTCATTCACCGTTCTTCACAGATGCGGTTCGAATGTAACCAACTTATTCCATTTCGAGTGTGGACACCAAAACTGCGCACGATTTCTTACTTTTCAAATATTATGATGGGGTTTCAAAACGTGTGAAAATGCACTCGCATCGTCTAATTTGATTCAATACCTTATTCTGTCGTCTGTACTCTAGTACTATTTGAATCCTTAGGGTCCAACGTCGAAAACCTGGCGGCCCCAACGGTAGCCGCACCTAAACTCAGTTCCTTCACTCCTGAACGCTGTGTCATAGCTTCTCCTTTTTTTGTTTCTTCATATTCGGCATTGCGGCAGGCAGGTCGTGCATTACTGGCAGCATCAGCTTGTATTCTTAATCATATCTCTTCCTGTTTCCAACTGAGGATAATCCTTATTCCTTGATGCCCGACACCAAAAGGCCGGCAGCACCAACCGAAGCCAATTTCTTCATGATCTGACAGGCACGAGGCCTTCCACAGACTTACCTAGTACGTGCAGGTAGTACACGGAGAGGCAGTTAATGGATAGACATATGTAAAACATGGCAGAGCCATCAAAGGCGGTGTCGAACGGTTGCTTGTTTCGCAGAACGACTATCAGCACTGACTGCATGACACAGAATCTCCTGATGACTCACACGATTTTCTTATTGGACACGAGTAATACTTAAAAGGTGATCGAACGTATATATTTGATTAGCATCTACAGGTCGAAGGGGCCAGGCCTCCCAAACTAGAAACAAAACCCTGTGAATCGCGGCAATGTACACCTTTTCCCTAAGGGACAGTCGGAGGTCACGGCGGTGCCAATAGTTTTGCAGGTTGGAAAATTTTTTCCTGGCTTTCGCTATTGGTGATCTGATTTCCTCCTCACCAACTCTATTTGAGATCAAGCCCTCGACTTCTCCCGCCAGGTTACCAGAAGGAGTGAATCCAATCGGCTGTTTCTACCAGTCTTGCACAAGCACTTTGCACTTGGATGGTGCAAAGCACATACCGCATCCGCATACTTCTATCGCCCAGTGATCTAACGTCAGTTGGAATGTCTATGTATTGTCAATAACGTATCCCAAGTCAAAAACTCTGGTCCCGGAAAGGAGGCCAAATTTACCGTTTGATAGACCGTACAAACCATGCTGTAGAACATTTGCGGAAAGTTAAAAGAGGAACGGTCATATAGAGCAATCTTGCTACACTCCACCGGGACCTCAAAGGGTGTAGAAAGCATTCCTTAGGCCTGAGGTGTGACGATGCAACTCTTTGTGGGGTAACAGTTTCATCATGTGGTTCTATCGATGACTGAGAGCGGACGTGAGCTGTCCAATGATGTACGAAGACTTCTCCTACTGCCAGAAGGAACCCCCAGGTTTCCCACTTCTGTATCCATCGGTCGATTATTGACCGGTAAATCGCTCCTCCCCATATTCACTCTTCGGAGTGAACTATCCAGGGGCAATACCGAATAGCCAAAGGTAACCTAGGGGTGCCCAGTTACCTGGTATCTACTCATTAACCTTTCAGGGATGATTGGATCTGCGACAGGCTTATCACGTTAAAGTGTATTCTCGTCTTGAGGGTTTACACGTGCCAGGAACCGCACTTTGAATGTATCTCGTTTGAAGCAGTGTCGTGGATTAGGAACAGCTTCAGCCTGTGAAGGAGAAGAAATCGATGAGACTCGGAAGTTTGTCAAAGTCGGACGCAATGGAACAGGAGTATTATTTCCATCTGAGACAGTCGATTGAAGGTCTCGATGAATACAAATATATTGAATGAGGTGAAGGCCTGATACAGGCGTTTTAGGGAAACGTGATCAGCTGAGTGGGTGCATGCAAAATTCATAGATTACACCACTGTTCAACCTAGTCCGCTTTATTTATTTATTCGCATTGATTGATCAGATTGAAAAAGCAGTTCAGGTGCAATTGTTTTTAACAGGTTGATAGCATGCATACTAAATAAAGGGAGCCCCTCCCATTTGTAGAACGTCATGGTTCCGTAACCCTAGATAGTGTTTTTTATATTATAAACGTAATGGTGTTAAACTGCTCAACAAATACTCGTTACAAAACAGAAAATGACTAGATGTTTTCGCTTTTTCAGTGAACTCGATGTTTATCCAGTAGGAAAGTGGTGTTTATCAATCCCTGGATTTTTCTCGCTTAGTCATTACCGTCTCCGGTTTGATTTTAGTGTTGATTTAGAGCAAGCTACAGTGGTATAGGATGTCGTAAATTGTCTTTGTTCGTTATTGAATATTCTAGTATGAAAAGAATTGTACAAAGTTAGTGCCGCTCAATCGCCAGATATTCCATTCCATTTACTCACATCTTCATGTCCCATGGTTTCCTGCACGATTCCGCTCTATTGTTCATTGTAGGTTGAGCTTCCCTTGGGTCAGTTATCGAAACGTGCATTGGATCCAAAACACGTGTATTTGTTGGACAGCGGCGGGGAACTATTTGTATGGATGGGCGAGAAGTCAACACGCTTTTTGCGATTTGCCGGTTGCAAATTGGCTCAGGAACTGACCGATATCATGCCTCGGGGTTGTTTCGGCGGAGCCGAGTCACAATTGGCCTCGGTTCTTGCAACCGCTTCCGAATTGTCATCTACCGCGTGGCTCACTTTTGTCCGGCCGGCACCACAAATATGCAGTCAGGGTGCAGAAAATCAGGTGCGTCAGACACAATTGATGAAAGTCACCAAATTGTATATTACTGTTAGCTTCAAGCATGAGATATCTCTCAGTCGATCTACAGGTCTACTCGAAACTGAAGCAACGGGTCCTTGTGAAACATTTATCGGTTCGTATAGGCAACAGCATTTATACTGGAGTAAATTTTTTTCCAAATAATAATAAACAAGCCTTGGTGAGTCTTTATAGACGTAATTTTTCTGATTCATTCATACTCAACAGATGAAATGTTTCAGAATGTGGCGGATACTCCCATTTCGTCAGTAGTGGTTGACCTAGACCATGATCAGTTGATAGGTAACTAAAGAGAATGGAACAGTTTTTATTTAGAACAAATTAACATTCATAATAATTAAGATGTGAGGTTTATGTACACTAATAGTCGATTGGTCTGCCTTTGTTCTTTAGGACTTTTTCGAGTCTCTTTGGCATCGAATCCACCAACTTTGTTATGAAATCGTTTTCTATTTTATGCTCCATTACGTATCGCACTTTTGCCTCTAATGTCCAATATACAAGTAGGACATTGACATCTCTCATCAAAACGGAAAACAGATTTCAATCACATTGAGAACCGGGCTATAAGGGGGAAATTGCATGAACTGGACCTTAGAGTCACGCATCTTTTCTGAAGTCTAAAAGCAAACAATAAGTGAATGAAACTCCTAAACTAAATAAATGTACTAATCTATCGTGAAACATGACACGGAGCGTTGTCCTGAAAAACGATAACTTTTCCAGACGATTTTTTTCATGAAATTCTGGGAACATTTTCGTCACTACTGATCCAAATTTCCCACTATTCATGGTGCCCTTGACTGCTATCCACCGACAAGGTTGACCATATTCTGTCCCTGCCCAGATGAATAATGTCGACGGATGAGAAACTTTTTCATTTGTTGAACTAAGTTCTTTTGGGAAATTCTCACCACAAATGAGTTAGTTGTGAGCCTTCCAAGGCTCGTCGCACACCATGCGTTCGTCTGCGAAATAAACCGATCGCTGAAATGACGCACGTCGAGATTTGAATTCTCGGGCAAAATCAATACGAGCTTGCCTTTGCCGCGCGTTCAATGCCTTCAGCTGAAACCTGACACATTTTAAATGTTTTCATTCTTCTTTGCAAAACGGAGTATGAATGGCGAAGGAGATCTTCCCGTTGGATAGACGGCAAGGATTTTCTGCAATGTTTTTTCAGAGTAACACGAATCAGGTCGGCCTCCTGTTTGGATGTACTTGGTTTACGGCCTCCACAAGCTGCTCTGGTTGTTGTTTTCCCATGGATTATCCTGTAAATTGTAAAGCATTGGGCAAGATTTGACATGGAAAATCCCAGCTTGTATGCTCGTACGATTCCGTTTCTGTCCTCTTCACTGTGATAACGGGAACTTTTGGTTACAACGGCTGTTTGCTTCATTATGGTAACAACAATACGAACATTCAAAGCCTTGCACCAAAATGACCTTGATTTCAAGGTTGACTTTGATTGAAGTGGTATTTCTCGAAGTAATTGAGTTAGACATCAAACATAGATTATTATTATGAAACCTTATTTAATGCAATTTCTCTGGGTTGTGATAAAATTTCATTTGGTTATCCAATAGAGTTGCTATAATAGATTATATATTAGATAAAATAATGCCTCATAACAAATAACCAAGATGGCAGGGGTTTGTGGAAATAATTTACGATAATTCTTGAGTCATTCCTATTAGAAAATATTGTGTTATGATACTTGATAAAGTTTGTGTTTTTCATGTTGAGATCATTTAATCTTGGCACTGAGGGCCAGGCACATTTACTCAATACTACGTAGATCGAAGTAGACAAGATATAAAATATTGTCCATACCTAAAGCATTACTACAGGTTTATCACTTGTATTATAATATATATATATATATAATATAATGAAACTGCATTTGATCATAAAGAAAATATTTCAGTGCATCACTATTGGCCAGTACTGTAGAATCATTACAATGTGAAAAGCAAAGTGGAAGTCGCATCACTCCCTTTTGTGTCTCACTTGATTCCAGGGTTCGGATATGCAGATGAATCAGTTCAGTGTGACAGGATGATTCAAACCTGTGTTCCTTCCTGCTAGCCTAAACTGATAACCGCTTTTACTTTTTGCTTGGATCCCCTTAAGCATCCCATTCCAGTACAATGTACTCACCATCTTATATATCAAACTTGACAACGGGATGGTGAATATTTTCTCTTCCTTGCTTGTAATCAGCTTCTCAAAGGGAATACCCATTGTTTCCCCAACGGCTTACGTATTCGTAAAAGGTAGTAGTTCATTAAGTATTTCATCTGTTGTTACCATGTTTTGTTGATTTCATGTTGTTAGAATGTGCACCTTTTGAACATAAATTAATTACGCAACTTGTGTTGCTTGAATTGGAATAGTTTTGAGATCAAAATAATGACTACTGTTGAGCAAATTTGCATAAACCTTTCAACCTCAACTGATAGGAAAGAGGAACTGTCACGGTGTGGTTCAATCACAGCTCAAAGAACCCGATTATTCTGAATAAATCCTTTTAGTGTAAGTGGGATCATGTAGGTGGGCGTTCATTGCTTAGATTATGTCCGAAATACGACTGCAGATCTTACATTAGGAAAATTTCGAAACTGTGATGGCACTTTCCCATTCGCACGAGGTAATCGGTTTCTTTCGTGTCCTGGTTTGATTCGAACCCACACATGCATTGCCTCTTTACTGTGCACACTCCACAAGATGACTTAAACAGAAACTCACCTTTTTTATTGTGGGGGTGTATGCTACTCTAGACGATCAAGTATTTGTTGATCTACTTTTTCTCCTAGTTTTCTGTCTCCCTTTATCTTATGCCATCACAATCGTTGTACTCAATGATTGTGCAATTCGAAACTGTTGGTGTATTTTCGAGTGCTTGTCGTGTAAGCTTAACACTTATTCCCGCATACTTTATTTTTTATAGATTTTCCGGGCACAGTTCTATGATTGGGAGGAAGCCATCGCTGTAGATTTCACGCGCACCGTGGAGTCGGTAGCCAAGCGGGGAGTAGACATGAATGCCATTCTCGAAAAGTACAAACCGGCAACCGATCTACGCGCTCTCTTGACTCCACGAGAACGGGCCCTGGAATGGGATGAGGCGTTACAGTTGATGTCTGACTGGAATGAAGAACTGGTCGAACCTATCGGCCCAGATTTGATCCCGAATACTGCCTTACAACAATTCATCATGATTGATGGCAAATGGGTCCCGGTTGAGCAGCAGTGGTTCGGTCATTTCTTCAATCAAGACTCCTATATCGTTATTGCTCGATATTGGGTAAGTCATACTCTAATGTACCTGCTCAGTACCACACCTTGAAATGTGACGCACCATTCTCACTCATAATATGACTGACTTTACACAACTTTAACACTGCATTGTTTTCTGTACACCAATCTATTACCTGTCCAACTTTGTGGTGATCTACGGAAAACGAAATAACGAGCAAGATTATTTTCGATAAATTCATCCACTGACATGTCTCATTGTGAAAATATCTAAAAGGGATATCATATTCGTACCAGGTCGTGGTTTGGCGTGTGAGAGACAGAGAAATCCCCGAATGAAAGTGGATTTAGAGTGAATTAGACACATAATACACAAAGTTGCTTCGATGTTCATCTTTTTCAGTTTTGGTCCCAAGGTTATGAAAAACGTTACCCCCCCCCCAATCATAGAATTTGATTAGCATTCAGCTTCTGGTAGTTGGAGCGCTTATTTTGGAATAAAGCGTTATGCTGACCAGACGGGAGTGGTCTCCGCCCGGGTTGTCTACGAATGGTATTGATATGTGGCCTCATTCCCCTCCGCTCAGAACTTTTGTTGACAGAACGCCCGCAACGTGCTAACTATTCACCAATCCAATCATACACCATAAGGCATTGTGCAAGTATATGGTCCCTTTATCATCTTTATAGAACCGTTTTGAGCAGAGGATGCTGTTTTTGGGGAGCAGGTTTTCCGCCATTGCGTCTTTTGTCGATTGACTTGTAGTTCGCTATCGCATATGCCCTGTGATGTGATAAAGAAATGTTCACACTTTCAGTGATCGCTTTCGCCCGAGAGAAAAATGTCATTATTCCCTTTAAAATCAATAGTGTTGGTAATGTTTGCACAACGGAAACAATGTACTTGATCGATATGTTGACCAGTAGTAAGATTGATAACATTTTCATTGCAATGCATGTGATCTGTTACCCAAACTATTTGGTCCAGAAAATGGCTGTGATGTTGTTTGTGTTTTTCGTATGGTTTTGTTGCCATGACGCAACTTGTTAGGATTTCGATGATGAGCATTCTGCCGAAGACCCGGAAGGCGGTGCAAATGCGGAAGAAGCGGACGAACTGGCAGAAGAGGAACGAACGAAAACTGTTGTCTACTTTTGGCAAGGTCGAGAGGCATCGGAATTGAACTGGCTCACCTTCAATTTCTCGTTGCGCAAAGACATGGAGACACGCTTATCGACCAATCCTAAAGAGGATGGACGACCACTGAAGGTGGAATTTAAGCGCGTGCGTCAGCAACAAGAAGATCTCGTATTTCTTGCGCATTTTCAGCGTCAGTTAATTATTCATTCAGGCCGATACAGAGATCGTTTGGATCCTGCTAGAAGAGACAAGGTTCAAATGTACTATATGAGAGCTAATGGAAACGCTATCTCTACCAGGTCAATAGAAGTAAGCTGTCGAATTCTTTCACAGCAAAACTATTTCTTTTTTTCTTTTTATATCGCCACTGTAAGAATGTCTGTTTCTAATCAAAGCTCTTTTTTTATCCACCAAGCACATTCACATTTACGTTTTTCACCGTTGCTTATAATTCCAGCGCACTACTTAGCTGGTCTCACCACAGTCTACATGGTAGCCATTTCCTAAGTGCACATGAGATGAAGTCAAATTCTGTCGTTTTTTTTGAAATAATTAAGCTGCCTTCAAGCCAGCACAAAAGCCCACAATCACCATTTGTTCCCTATCAAAACTCGACCGTGACTGTTTCAAATTGATTGAGTTCTCTTCAAATTGATCTGCAAAGCTTGCGCTAATGATGATTCGTTGTTTGAATTTTTGGAACAATAGATTTTTAAATGGGATAAATGACGACTAAACTCTTCAGTATGGAGACTTGAAGTTTGTGTGTGTGTGAATTGTGCATTTGCCCCTCATGTTTTCCAGGCGTCCCTTTTCGTGAAATTTGGACTGTCCCGTTACACACTCCATTAAAAAGGCATTTAAAGATTGTAATAATAATTATTACTGAACGCAGATCAGTGTGTGTATATTTTACGAATACCGCAATACATTTTATTTACTTTACAGCGATCACCGGAGTCTAGTTAGTTTTTTCATTTAATAATTACCGGCTTGATCAATATGATAATATGCTAGTGTCGGTAAAATAATGTTCCTGGTTTTTCGTCTGACCTTCGTATTTTAAAGCGTTCAACGACCATATAAACAGTTATGGGTTAATTGAAGTGTTTTCATTTACATCCGAAGTGCCGACAGAAATGACCGGTTCGATGTGAGCATATATTGAGTTCCGTTTTCAATCCTTATGGGGACCGATCTAAAACCAAATCACGTTATTGCTTAATTTCCGCCTCAAACCCAAATAAGGAAATTGTTTTATTGAACTTAAAGGTAAATATCCAACGATTGCCTTACCAATTCAAAACGGTATTATTAATACATGATCGTATGATCAAACGGACAACTACAAGAAAAAAACGGTACACCTAATGTTGATTCATATCTTGCTGGTAGGGGGCACTCAGTGAAGTACGCGGTACTCTGAATGCCCTTGTTGTTTTCATCATTTGCGATCATCAACTGTAATTTTGTTTACATCCCATGAAAACTGTCAACCGAATCAATGTGTGCAATAGTTCTAAATAAGTTGCCGTTAAGTGGGAGTAACAGTTCACAGATATGTCGTACTCAGTTTTCTGCTCTTTCTCTCTCTCTCTCTTGACCTTATACATTCATGCTCTTGTTCATAATCTTCATTTCCAGGTGCCACCTTTGTCGAACTACATGAACTCCTACTTCTGTTACATCGTTAAAGTGCCTGGAATCATATTTTCCGTCGATCGCAGTGCCGATGATCCTCCTCCACCTCCGCTCGTATGGATGTGGATTGGTAAACACTCCCATCCAAACGACAAAGAATTATTGGAGAAAATTTCCAAACGGATTTATAAAGATGTACGTTGAATGCTACCAGGTAGTGGTTACCAGTCAAGTGAGAATAATTCTTCTGATTCCGTTGTTGATCAGTTTTGTTCGGTATTCTGCTAATAAATTCTACCCGTCTTTCGAAGAGATAAAGGATAACTGTAGACAATAAATGAATCCTCTCAATTGTCGAACATGTCCATCTTCACAATATTGCACAGTTTCGATAGAGAAAGAAACCAACTAGAAGTGGCGAATTAAAGTTTGCTTAGCACTCACCGGCCTGAACTCGTGTTCCCGTGTTCATCTTTGTTTGTCAGGTTTTTATACGTGCTAAACTATTCAGCCTGTTCTTCAGTCTCGATCACTGCGCATCCAATGGAATATGAGGGAATTTAAGTTGCATGAAAAACACTGTAAGTGTTGCCATGGTGAAATTGCAGCACCATCACCAATCGTTTTGACACTGTCTTACCATCCGAAGTCTCCGTCGACTAATTAACTTAATCTCAAAATCCTCATCAGAAAGTCCAACACAAATTACCGGTCACACATACCCTTCGGACAGGGTCATCTCCTGACCCTCCCTGCTATTCTGCCCATATCTTAGCTTGAAGAATGTCCTGTTCTTATCAAGCCTTTCCCGAGGACATGGAGTATATGTCTCAGTCTCTGAAGTCCAGGCAGCTGAGTATGTGTGCGACTGCGAGTGCATGTGCATAACAGATTTCAAACGTCATCTTGCACCATGTGCCCTTGGATGGTCGTCACCTGAATAATCAAGAGAATTTCTCCATCGAGACCGACCACTTCGAATTCAGTCGCAGCTTAGACAAGTTACAAACACCCAATATCAAGGATAGTCCGGGCATATTAACCGCAATTTTCCTAGAACATCGTTAGCGTAGGGATGATTAAATTCGAATCACAGCTGAGTTTAGCTAGTGTGATGCTGTTATTGGAAAACTAACAAAAGAGAGTACGTATAGATGAAGTCAATAGAACCAAATCGCATCGGTCGTCCCTCCTGGCGTTCGGTTTATTTCACTGACGAATGCCTGGCGGTTGAGGAGCAATAAACTGGACAGAAAGGTGATCTATTGACCTGGCTTCCCAAAATAATCCACTTCACCGTTCACAAAAACTTCATGTTCGTTCAGTTTGATTAGTTAGGTAGGAATAAAATATGGATAGCCTTGTTCGGTCAGGTGCATGGTACTCTGGATAGTACTAAATTTATCTCACTGACCAAGCAGGTTTTCGATGACTACCATGCTCGAAATACCATAATTTTGCAAAATACAGATCATTCTCTCATCGCATTCGAGGTTCATGGTAAAACTTCTATAGATCTCAAGATATATATTATCTTGAATTGGCATTTTCCGAAGTCGAATTCATTCAGTTACCACCTAAAAGCCCAGATCCGAGTGCAATCGAAGACTTTTTTCCTGCGTTGAAACCAGAGATAATTTAGCTACGTCGAAGGTGGCCGATACAAACCAGAATGTTCTAGTCGAAACTGAAAAAAGCGCTTTGGTTTTCCACTTGATTCACTCCATGCCAAACTACTGGACCCGGGTGTTCAGAATAAAGAAGGGCACACTGTTTATCGCTGACATGGAAGTACGATGCCTGTCATACCCAAGTCATTTTGATAAATAAATTCGTAGCATTTTGTATCCTGAGGTTTCGTTATCGTACAACTACCACTAACCGTCATCGAAATCGCATTTTCCCGAGGTTTCTGATTAGCAGAAACAAGCGGATACTATAATAAATATGTTGTGTCTGGTGTAAGGTAACAAACACCATACGCACTCTCGTGAATAAGACTCAGTACTATGCAATGCAAACCTCATTTGCAGCTGGGGGAGTGGACTTGAGACGAACAAGTCTCGAAGGAATAATTATGATGATTCTGTATCAGGCGTTGGTAGTTGAAAGCGTCCAACCTCAGCCAACTAGAGATTTGTTCGTTTCAAATCCACTCCCAGAGCTGAAAATGAAGTTCGCATTGCATAATTCACATAGGGACTTCAAGTATAAGAATGACCAGATAGAAGATTACCGGATGTGCATACCTGAAAAGCGGCAAGGACTGCGAAACCGGTCATGTGCTTCTGGGGAATTTGGCCTAGTTATCCATATACTACACAGCATAAAGACTCAGTACGCTATGTGTGACCTTGTGCACTAACGCAAAATCACCTGAGCATGGAACATGGAAAGACGGAAGCATATTTTATTAGTAGGGTCTTATGA